GCAGGAACAGGAACCCCGGTCGAACTGCAGCGGCATCCCAATCACACTGGAAAAAAGATCCAATCACAGATTTTTGGACAGAGAAGCACGTAAGGTCTTGTCAGCACATCTGCACGGCCAGGCAGAAGCTGTTCAGAGCTCTGGGAGGCAACATGCTAACAGACCTCCACATCCCAACTTCAGAAGTTCGTGAGGAAGAGAGGGGAGAATCCCTAAGTGACTCGCCCCATTCCAGCTACTGGTGCAGATGACTGTGGCAGCGTTCCCCATAATTAACAGGATGAATTTTCTTGTAACATACAGTAAAAGGGAAGCTGCACCTAACCGACCATTCTGAGCTTCACTGTATTAATGGACACTTTTCAGTCGGGCCAAATTCTGAGATTTCAAACCGGCGCTCGTCTTCTGCGCGTGGTGCTGCAGGCAGTAGGTGGCATCCCTCAGCAAATGTTTGTGTGCGTATTGAGGAACTGCTGGAAAGATAAGCTTATCCAAGCCGTGTTTGCAAGCTGGAGCCCTAATCGTTATGAAGTCTACACCAGTTCTTTCCCTCAGACAGGATTTTAAAATTAAAAGCCACAGTGAGGAAATACAGAAATTGGTAGCAAGAAGCATCTTCCAGGCACAATTCCAGCCGAATTAGTGCAGCATCAGCAACACAGGCACCCAGGAAGAAGAATAGACCTGGCACCAGCAGCTATGAAAGACAATCCCAACGCCTGTCATAGAAGACCAAAGAGAGAGAAGACAGAGGAACTTAACAAACATCTGCAGAGTCATGTGTACCTGGAATCCAAAACTGTATCACAGCTGAAAACAATCTTCTTTGCAAAAAAAGTCAACATATATATGGATCTTAATTGCAAATGAAAGCTTTTCCTTGACTAACTGCAAAAGAAAACAGCTGCCGAAGAAGAAGTTAGGTTGGGCAAAGAAATAAATTCCTCCTACATCAAAAGCTCAGATTCTTATGAAATAATATAAAATAAACAAGAAAACTGAAAAAAAGACACAAAAGAAACCATCACGTAGCATTGAGTTACGGGCAGAAGAGCAGTGCTAATGTCAGTGATCCAGCACCTCAGCCCAAAATATTCCTCTCCAGGAATATTTCAAAAGTCAAGGCAGTATTTCGAAAAAAACCAGAATTGCCTCATTACCATCTTACATCTGTAAATGAGATTGTGTTTTGGTGAGGGCAGAGTATTATTCTGGGAACAGCAATAGGGATGACGTATTCACAAGAACAGCCAGCTCCTAATTCCAAGAATGGACTTCAAATTTAAGCATATATACAGTAGCCAAGCTTAGATTTAAGGTTACAGTAAGCAACTGCCCCTTATGCACAGCTGACTCACGAGCACCCCCAGAGCACAGCACCAGGGTGACGCTTAGGGCGCATCCATCCTTCCTCTTGGTAGCACATGCAGTGTTGGCTACTGCACCTGAACCCACGCAATGAAGGACTCTGCTTTGCCAAGTCCTCAGGATATCATCACAGGCCAGGTGACACGGGAATGAGAGGGTGACAGCAAGCTACGGTCATCTTCGACCCATGGGCTTAGGAGATATAGCATAACTACCCAGCAGTACCCTCTCCAGTATCTTTGGGGATACTGATGCAATGAGACTGCTCCAAAAAGATGGTTAATTCTATCCAGCCTCATTTACACACCCTTCCTGAACTTGTTTTGCATGGCAGCAGTAAAGATGGCACCAGTGCCCACCGCAATGTAAGATGCTCCTTCCAAAGGTGATACAGGTAATGTAACAATTCTGAAAAAGAAGCACCACATCGCCCCAAGAGACCAGTCAAAGGAGGGAAAGTTGACCACAGTTGAGCCACTGGCCACAGCACCTTCGCAGCAGGGCCAGTGTTAAAAATACACAGACCTTCAAAGATATCCAAGGGCCTTGGCAGTAAACAAAGATAGAAAGATGGTGCAATTGTAAAAACATCAGGTGGCCCTTGGCTCAGCCACGTGGGTTGGTAACTCCACGGAGCCCCTCCTTCTGCTGGAGCACCATCGGCACCGCAGATGATGACACATCACCCAACTGCACCGCCTGCAGCGTGACTGTGCTGGCTCGGTCAAGCTCTGCAGTAATTCTAACGACTGTTTATTGTATGAAATAGTTGCCTAGCAAGCACCTAACAGGAAAACCAAGAGCAACACACCCAACAGCAGTTCTTTCATCAGTTTCTCATCGCTACTCCCTGACCACCCGTACCAATTCATATAGAAAACACATCCCACGACTCTAATATTATTAAACTTTCTGAACACCTGCCTAAGAAGAAAACAAGATTTGCCCCAGAAGAAATCTACTTGACTTGTAGAACAACCCAATAAAGCCCCTTCCGTTAAACAATGTCACCTCCATTTGAAAGGACAGCATCAGTTCCAGGATGGACAATAAACAATAAGCTCGTAACTAGTAACAGGTCTCGGCGCACCTGCCCATTTCTCTGTAGTCCAGCTTTAGATGGAGATCTGGTAGGAAGGTGAAAACCCTGAGTTCAGCTCATCCCCACCCCCCAAGCAACATGCAGAGGGCCAGTTTCTGTGTGTCACTGAAGAGTCTACACATCACCCAGTAAGGCCAAAACTGCAGATCTATGTCAGGGAAGCCATTCTGAAGGACACAAACTCAGTCCCTGCCATTTGGTCAGTGGCCGCTAACCAACAGTCAAAGTGGTGCCTGCAATCCTCTTCCCAACTTGGCTGAAACTAGTGGAAGTTGGGTGAGCTGTCACTCCTCAGCACAGCTTCAGGCTTTGGAAGGGTATGGGGGATGGGGGAGGAAAGCTACTGTGTGGCCAACAAGCTTTCAGTATGCCATTCGATGCTGACCAAGTAGCCTTTATTGCCTGAATTAGCAAGGACACCACCTGAAGAGAGAGAGTGTGTACGTACACAGGTGTATTTAAGGGGTTAAAGCAGCACGTTCATCCTTGTTACTCCCAAGTTACCTCTGGCCATTCGTACATTACAAGTGTTTCCTTACGATAAGCCAGAGCGGTACTCTTCACACGGGAAGTGAGATTCTTCTGTCAAACACGGAGTACTAAGATCACCAGGCAGCAGCTAAGCATGAAAAGAAATTCATTTAAACCAGAGGTTTCAAAGAATAATCCCAAGTGTTCTTCTACAGAACTTGTGAAGTTCACTGATACAGGATGTACGGATCAAAAGGGAACAAAATAAGCTTGTGGAAAATAGGCCCAGCACATCTCTGAAGACAGATAATGTCTGTCTCATCAGGGAACTAACAGCAAGATAGCAGAACAAAGGACAGCCCGTGCCGAAAGATCACCTGTACGTCCGCCCTTTTCACATGCTGCTGCCCTGCGCTTGGGCCACTTCAGATGGTGACAAGAAGCAGGACCTTAGGCAAAAGTGAGAGATGCAGGAAGCCTTCCCTCACCTGGCCTTGGATGTCTAAAAATGCAGAAATCACCTGTGTTAAAATGAATTCATTCTAGATTATTCTGTTTATGGTTTCTGGGCAAAACCAAACATTTGCATGACATGAAACACAACAGCACATACTGGGTTAAAAAGTAAAGAACAATTACAAGTTCATCAGTCCTGATTTCTGATTTTGTTGTTGTTGTTAGTTAATTCAACTTGTTCCATCTGCAATGTCTTGTTAGGACAGAGCACTCGCTTTCCACTGATTAATAACTGCTTTTAAATATCAGTCTGAGTCCACTCGACATGAGACAAGGCAAAACACAATCAAGTAAAGCTTCTGGTGCTGAAAGACAGAATTTTGTAGGAACAAAACATGCAGCATCACATGTCAACACCTTTAAGTTTTTATTTTTTAATCCATCACCTACAATCTTCCTTCGACTACCATAACATAAAACATCTGCAAATATTAAACTAGTAATGCCATCGCTGGTTTTGTTGTTGTTTTTAAGCAAAGAAAAAAAGTCAGGTTTATTTTGTAGTAGCAATAGTTTCTTTTTTATTTTTAATATACTTTAGGAAACAATATACAAAGCTGAGCTTTGCCACCATTTTCAAACGGCGGGTTGCTCCAATTACACAAATTCAGCGTTTTGTGATGGTTAAGAACAGCAGTCAGCACCAGACTTAAACAGTTAGCTACAACACAAACATCCTTCGAAATGAAATGTCGTAATATCAAGACAGGTAAACCAGGAGTTAACATAGGACAACTGTTGGGGAGGTGTCTTAAATCATTCTTGTTGAATTTTATATTTCATTAAATATTTTATACACATTTTCCTGTTTACAAGTTTTAAACAAAACCTCCCTTGAGGAATTATTTAAGTACAAAAATGTTCAACAAGAACAGTTCTAATAAAGAGTCCCCAAACAGACCAAATTTTAATATGCGTTGACCAAAGGAAATGAAAACCAGTGTTTCTTTGTTTTAACATGTTTATTACAACAGATACAATTCACATCTGACTAGCTTTTTTTTTTCCTCTTTCCCCTCCCACAACCATGTTAACATGTTCATTGGGCTATTTCCTTATATTTGAGCAAGTAATGTACTTTCAGCACACATGCCCAGCAGTACTATAAGTCCATTCTTACAGGGTGCAAATGGAAATACGGTTCAATAATTTATACAAACAAGTGGGTTATGCTCAATCACTGCAATTTTAAGCTACTGTACACAGGAATGAAAAGATTATAGAAAAAGTGCCATAGCAACAGTGCCTTAAGAAAAGAGAAAATTAGAAGCATTAAAAAAAAAAAACTGATAAAATCAGATTTTGGATTTCACGGGGAAATGGAACACAGAAAATGAAAAACATTCCTCTGTAAAACAGAAATGGAGAAGCACTGCTCTTGATTCGGTGCAAGTGTGGAAACAGTTGTTTCATGGTATTTTGTACATTACCCAAATTGTTGCAGCCTGGCGCTTGCATTGAATTTTAGGAAATGCTGGATTTCTGAATGATAAATTAACTAAAAAAAAAAAAAAAAAAAAAAAAAAAAAAAAAAAAAAAAAAAAAAAAAAAAAAAAAAAAAGCTAATTTTGCAGACAGGTTTACATGTAAAAGGCTAGGTATTTAGCCACCTCAGCATTGATTAGTTTTGGATGTCTAAGCTCTGATACACATGGCTTCCCATGGCTTCACTCTACAAAACATATTTACAACGTGAAGAATACATCTACAAGAAATCTACATTTCAAGGGTTTTACAAATCATTCTTGTATCTTTCCCCTGAATTTGACTCCCTCCTGTCCCCTTCCCCATGTCAACTTTTTTCTGCCCAGCTCAACGGTCCAAAGTCTACTCAAATGCAGCTCAAAAGTGTTAAGACTGGGCATCAGTTTAATAGTTCCTGTACTCAAAACCATGTGCAATTGGTTACAACTTTTCACACCATGAAGGAATTCTGATTCTTTAGCTTTTCAAGTTCTTTAATTTGTTGTCTCAAAAATAGTATCCTGCAAGAGAAAAGAACTGAATTAATATCAACGTTTCCGTTATAGAGATATTAAGTATCTACACAAGCACTTCCACAGTCTCAGCAAACAAACCCAAGCTCCTTAGCTCTATTAATGAATTTCATATATTTTAAATGACTTCCCAACCTGCTCAATCACCTACCAACACTGTGTGCAGATGCACAGAGACCTGCAATATTTGACTCCTTAGTTCAGAAAATTAAATTGCTGTATTTCATTATGATTGACACTCGGTTATGTTTAAGCTTGCTCTTCACTTGAGTTAACTCCCAGAAAAAGCAGGACAATGGAGGAGTATGCTGAATAGCGGAATATTCCCAAGGATGGTATTACGCCTGTGACACGCAGTTTTCCAGACTGTCCAACAACCCAAAGCACTCACAGCATTTTTAAAAAAACCGAAAGTTTTCTTCTAGGCACAACACTTTCTTTCTAGTATTTGGTTCTGTGGCTGGTACAGTAACAATTTACTTTAAAGGAAGTCTCTAGTGACAGTAAGCTCCAATCTCAAAATATTTGGTCATTAAAAGGTATCTGAGGAAAAAAACAGTAACTACACCTGACACAGAAATAAACGACATTGCTGACAATTCCCTTAGAAATCTTTCCTTCCTCTACTGAACTGACATAAACTACTACTGTGATTAATGAACATTTGGTTTACATACTGTTTCCCAGAACTTTTAATGAATATTTTGTAACAACTTTTCATGATGCCCAAGTGTAACGCAGCATGGGAACGAATTAAGAAAATATTCAATGAGGTTGAAGTTTTATATTGATATTGTATAAAGTCTGAAGCAACTTTAGTAGATGCAGAAAAGTTAATTTTGTACTGAAAAGCAGGTGGAAAAACTATTAGGATAGACACACTGAAAAAAAATTAACTTAAAAAGGTGTCAGTGAAAAGTGCCTTTTCACATGCTGTAAGTTACGGTTCAAACAAGCTACTTGCTTTGCCCAGAGCTAAAGTTCCCTCCCAGAACAAATTTAAATCGTTATCTGCTGTGCAAAAGTATAGAAATAATAGCATTATTCAAAAGTATTGGGTTTTGATAATCCCATCCTTTGCAAAAGCCTCCCCACACCAACTTGTTACTTATGCCATATATTCCACGTCTTTGGGATTGCAGCAAAAATAAGAGATACATGTTATCACAGATTAAAAGTCATAATAATCATTCTCCATTGACAGCGTAATGATACACAACGTGCAGGAAACAAGGTGCTATTTAGTGAGCTGAACCATGACATCTGACATGTTATTTCAGATGAAATGTGCACCCAGAGACAGAAATTAAACCTCAGGAGGTTTTATTTAATCTGTAAGAAACCAAGAAATTCATTAAATATTCTACAGAAACTGTGATTTATGTAATGAAGTTACAAAAGAAAATTTTGGAAAGAATGGACATTTCAGATTCTTTACTAGGAAAGATTTACAAATACATTATAGCCTACTTCTGACTACAAGGACTGTTGTGCTAACTGCCAAAAAGCAGGAGCCTCTAGGCTAAAGCTAGCTGTTTAAACAGCATGCAATGCTATTAAAACATCTTAAAACAGTAAATCAGAATCACCACATTCAAAATGCAGTGTGAATTAGGATAACATCATTCAGCCTGGTCTAGTGGACAGTGTCCCTGCCCATGGCAGGGGAGTTGGAACTAGATGGTCTTTAAGGTCCCTTCCAACCCAAACCGTTCTGTAATTCTATGAAAAAGGAAACTGAATATGAAAGTAGATTCAGGATCATGACTACAGGTGAAGAGTTTCAGCACGACTGAACTTTTCAATTTTGCACAAGTCTTTAACAAGAGGGCTGTGTATTGCTTCAGTGATACTCAAGACACCCTCTATTACTGACTTAGGCAGCAGAGTACTCTGCCCTAATTGACATCTCACTGAGGAATCCCAAGATCTCCTCAGACACCTCCTACCTGAGTAACAAACATTATTTTTTTTCTTAGTTTGTGATATCAACGAACTCTTCAAACTTGTTCTGGCTTTAGACCTAACAAATGTCTCATGCAAAATGGAGCATTTAAGACCAGTATAACCCATGTAGATGTGTACCTATGCGATTTATGCATCACGCGTGGACAGCTATTTTAGAGGTATGCTGAATTAGTTAACCAGTTTCTCCCAATGCCTCTGGAAAGACACTTCTATCTCAGTGAAAATACATACAGAAGTTGCATATATTGTTCTATTTGTTGAAGACTAAGAGATATGTGTGTGGGAAACAGGCAGAATGTACACAGGGAAAACAACTTGCAAACCTGGTGAGTATTAGCGTACTTAGAAAATCATAAATAAATACAGCTCATGCGAAACAATGCCAGAGTGAGAATCCTAATAATACCTTGAAAACTGCCATTTTGAAAATAAACACAGAGCACACACTTACCTTTGCTCACGCAAAGTTGCTTGAATTTCACATACTCGAACTAAAGATCTTAAATTCTTTAATTCAGTACAAATTTCTGACATATGGACACTTCCCATGTTATGGGCTTCCTCACGTAATCTTGATGCCTGTAATGGTTACATGTACAGGTTAGTGTTTTGAATCATGCACTGGAAGCAACTGGCTGTAGCCAGTGGACTGCTGGATAAGTATATGTGGAAACAGCAAAGCCCTCTAAGAGGGAAGATTAAATCAGAAGGACACTAAATTCTCTACAAAAGCCCATTTTAGAATCAGAAATTTACACTACTGGCTGCCAAGAGATTGTCTAACCCAGGACCATGCTAAGGCAGGGATGGTTTAAATTTCCTTAATCCTAACAAATGTTTACCCAACCATCTTGAGAAACAGCACATGACAGGGCTCTGAGTTTCCAGAAGTAATTTATTAGTTAAAAGTCTCTGTCCACTATTTCAATGGCAGACTTAGATTTCCCATCCAAACTGAGCCTTGGCGACAACAATAATGTCATCTTCTTTCCAGCTACCTTGCACAAGGGGAAAAAAAACCAAAACACCTCCCCAACCCTCTTCAGGTGTTCTCTTCCAGACAAACTCCATTATTTTAATATCCCCATATAGTCAGGTGGAGACAAGCACAAGTGTCAATTTAGAAGGCATGACCTATGTCCAGGTTGTTCATTTTCTAAGGTCTGGATGCTGGATATGTGACTCCAGAGAACTTGAACAGCACCAAGGAAACTAGTGTAATTACTCTGAGGCCCTGTGTACCACACTGCAATAAGAATCATAGAATCATAGAATCACAGAATGGTGTGTGTTGAAAGGGACCTTAAAGATCATCTAGTTCTACCCCCCCTGCCATGGGCAGGGACACCTTCCACTAGACCAGGTTGCTCAAAGCCACATCCAGCCTGGCCTTGAACACTTCCAGGGATGGGGCATCCACAGCTTCTCTGGGCAACCTGTTCCAGTGCCTCACTACCCTCTCTGTGAAGAACTTCTTCCTGACATCTAATCTAACCCTCCCTGATTTCAATTTATACCCATTACACCGTGTCCTGTCACTACAGGCTCTTGTAAAAAGTCCTCTCCCAGTACCCTTGTAGGCCCCCTTCAGATACTGGAAAGCTGCAATGAGGTCTCCTTGGAGCCTCCTCTTCTCCAGGCTGAACAATGAAAGAGCAATGAAAGAAAGAGGATTTCTTGCAAGTGGCACACTGAAAAAAAAGTTGTTTCAAATAGATTCTTCCTTGTAGTGTTACATTCCCAATACTATACTGGGCTGTATCCGGAGAGGTGTGGCCAGCAGGTCAAGGGAGGTGATTCTGCCCCTCTACTCTGCTTTGGTGAGACCCCACCTGGAGTGCTGCGTCCAGCTGTGGAGCCCTCAATATCAGAAGGATATTGACCACTTGGAGCGAGTCCAGAGGAGGCCACGAAGATGATCAGAGGGCTGGAGCACCTCTCCTATAACGAAAGGCTGCGAGAACTGGGCTTGTTCAGCCGGGAGAAGAGGAGGCTCCGAGGAGCCCTCATTGCAGCTTTCCAGTATCTGAAGGGGGCCTACAAGGGTACTGGGAGAAGACTTTTTACAAGAGCCTGTAGTCATAGGACAAGGGGTAATGGGTATAAATTGAAATCAGGGAGGTTTAGATTAGATGTCAGGAAGAAGTTCTTCACAGAGAGGGTAGTGAGGCACTGGAACAGGTTGCCCAGAGATGTTGTGGATGCCTCATCCCTGGAAGGGTTCAAGGCCAGGGTGGATGTGGCTTTGAGCAACCTGGTCTAGTGCACGGTGTCCCTGCCCATGGCAGGGGGGTTGGGACTAGATGATCTCAAGATCCCTTCCAACCCTAACCATTCTATGATTCTATGATTCTATGTTATGCTCGGCTGTACTGGGTCTGACTGGGATGGAGTTAATTTTCTTCACAGCAGCCCATACAGTGCTATGTTTTAGATTTGTGACCAAAAGTGTGCTGGTAACACACAGCTGTTCCTGAACAGTGCTCACATAGCATTCAGGGCTTCTTCCTTTTTCTGCCACTCCCCTACACCTCCTTGTCAAATAAGTTGTGGCTGGACAAAAGGCAGGGAGGGAACCTAGCTGGGACAGCTGATCCAAACTGAACACAAGGATATTCCATACCATACAATGCCATGCTCAGCAACAGAACTGGGGAGCAGTTTTCCAGGGTTTGCCAGTGCTCAGGGACTTGCTGAACATCAGTTGCCTTGTGGTGGCTGCTTTTGAATCACTCTTCCCCCTCTCCACCACCCTTTTACTTATTAAACTGTCTTTATCTCAATCCATGAGTTTCCTCACTTCTGCCCTTCCAATTCTCTCCCCCATCCTATTGGGGAAGAGTGAGTGGGTGAGCGGCTGTGTGGTGCTTCGCTGCCTACTAGGGTTTAATCTACATCATCTGCTTAAGTTCCTGTATACTTGATTTTCCTTCTCAAAAATAATGGTATTTAGCACAGGGCTTCATCAACCTCTGGCATTTCTCCACTTCAAAGAAGCACTTTGCATTCTAATTCTCTACATTAAAAATTGTCTTTTCTGGACTATGTTGTCATCCAGGAGCACCTTCGTCTCCAGCAGGCCATCATTTTGCATGTCCTCCCTACACAACTCCAAAGCCTTGAGACTGACAGAAAACTATCAATAACAACTTTCAAAGTACTCCTTTGTAAGCTGACCAGTCACCCATCTCAAAGTAATCTTACTTAAAAGGCCTTAAAATCATTTTTGCATACAAGATTCTCGTTAAAAGGCGTTAACAGCCTTGCTGCACACCAGGATACAACATTCATTGCTTTCCCATATTACCAAAGCCTGATAATTTATTAAAAGAAAAAAACTTCAAAAAACTGACATAATTTCTTTCTCCTATTATCAGGGTTTTCTTTTCAGGTGTTGGTATAACAGTAAATTAATCATTTTTCTTACTTAGATATTGTTCAGTAGTCCAAGTACCTCTACAATTACTGAGTTGAGACCACCTACAATTCCATTTTTCACACTCCTTAAAGATGTTGATTATTTCCTAATTAACCACATCACTGGATTGTTTTCCACATTAATTGCTTCTTATCAGCTCTACGAGACAACTGCTAGTGGTTCAAAGACTGTTTTAGCTACTCATTACTGCGCAGCGCATTTTCTTCAGGACTGACTGCTTTAACACGTATCCGTCCTGGCTCACCTAACGTATGTACATATTTATTTCTCATTTTACTCTGGCATGTGCTCTTATGCCCTAATTTCGATTTAAGCTATGCATCTGCTTAGAAAGACAAAGAAACCAAGGCACTGTGTATTTTAGCCTCTCCACTTTCATCTAGCTTACCTCCTTCAGTATGCATCGCACCTACACTTTCATTCACCTTTCTTTTACATCTGGCTTAGGTCCTTCAAGTGTTACTACTCAAAACCGGTCTATAAACAACACGGTCACTCGAAATCAAGAAGACAGGGCAATACAGCATGTAACACTTGGCATAAAGATAAAAGTATCCAACTGAGTACATGACCGCCTAGCATTAGCTGGTTTTTTTTTAATCTCTATTACTGATAGAGGGAGGAAAAAATACCTATGAACCGTATAAATCTGTATTTTTTTGAATTAAAATATATGTTAATTCAGTACCCAGTGAAAATAACCATCAAAACCAGGGGCCAAAGCCATAGCGAGAAGCACCTGTGCTGCATCACTTCCTTAGACACACATTCCAGAGCAACGGCTCAGCCATCTGACTCAGTACAGGTTGGTAACGTCTTAAAACTGATTTTTAAAAGAATTAAGGAAAATAAACAAACCAAGAACCCCAAGTAGAGTCCAAATAGGGCATCAGCCTAGACTGCACTTCTGAGAGTCATCCTGCAAGTTATTACCCAAAAGCCTCCAGTGAAGGCTTGAGCCAGACCAAAGTAAACTGGGCTAAGTAAGATTAATATCCCACACAGACTGTGTCAGACAGGGTTGCCTGTGAAAGGACTTGAACTGGACTCTGTAACCAATACGGTTCCTTTGAGTAATACATTCCAAGCAGCTGACATGCATCCAGTTTCCCTGCATTACCACAACAGGATAGGTTTCATGCAGTTACAAAATATGGATGGCAATTCTACTGGATTTCCCATTAGGTAAAAATAGCCCAAATTCAGTCTGAGCGCTCTACATCATCTTAAAAACTAGGTACAACAAACAAGACAGAGGAGTTCCTTTTTCACTGTGTAGAGCCAGTAACTCAGTGACTCAAACTGTGGAGTAGTCTCAAACAGTTTAACTCTGCCACCTAATTCATAACATTTTCCATAAAACAAAAATATTATAATAAAAAATAATTGAAATTTATGTTCTTTGCAAATTTCAACATAACTCTGGCAGTAAGAAAATAGTTATGAGGATAGCTGTGCATCTGAAAGAATTTCAAAAGCACCGACACTTTAAATGGCAATCATAAGACCCGCAGGTCTAGCCTAATCTCTCTCTACACTCTCCTCTCTTCTGGACAAGGCCAAGCATCGGAGAAGCTGTGGATGCCCCATCCCTGGAAGTATTCAAGGCCAGGCTGGATGAGGCTTTGAGCAACCTGGTCTAGTGGAAGGTGTCCCTGCCTACAGCAGGGGGGTTGGAAATGGATGGTCTTTAAGGTCCCTTCCAACCCAAAGCATTCTGTGATTCTATCAGGGTTTTTTTAAATATGTTTAATTCCTAGAAAAAGCAACCTGTGTAAGAAACCCAGATTTTAAGCTACACATTTTGCACTCCCACAGGGAACAAAGCACGAGCGCACTCACCTGCTTTTCTGCATGATCTGCAGGCCAGCCTTGAACATGCTTTATAAGATTTTCATTGAAGTGTGCTGCTAGCGTAGGTGTTAATGAACAAGTGGGCCGTACAGATGTATTCTGTGGTGCAGGTGTTGAATTTGATGCACTAGTGCTAGAGGTATGATTTGGACCTGGTGATGGGCTTCTTTGACTACTAGAAGAAAGAATAAGAAAAAAAAAGTGAGCATTTAAACACTTAAAATTCTTTGCTTCCAGTCACAAAAACACATCAGGCATTTAAACCACAAGTAAATACTTCTGGGTAGACCAAACCCCCTTTTCACAAACATCCTACTTATATAGAGACTGTTTGAGTGCTACAATATAAGAGTGGGATTTTTTGGTTTGTTTTTTAACTTTTGATAGCTGGTCAAGAGATGTAAACTGTCTCTATATTTTAGTGTTGGATAGAGAATACGTACATGTATGTTCTTCCTTCAAACAGCTGCAAACCTAAGATTGTCAATAATGATATATCAGATGGAGTGAAGCAGGTTTATTCAGAGTACTGGCAAGTGTCACAATAATCATTAAGTACAAAACCTGATGTCCTAATCTAAAAATACAGCCATACGAGCTTTGAAGAGCATAACCATTTAGTAATGCCAAACCACAAACACCCAGGTGACTGTGATACTGAACATCCCCACTTAAACCAATCAAGAGAGCAGAAGTACCACAGGAGAAGTTATGGCTGTAGCTACCAACTTGATTGCTTTACTGAAACATCTCAATGCTCCCGTTTTTCTGGTTGGTGTGTTAACCTGTTGCCAGAGACATGTTGAGCTGATATGTATACTGTGAAGACAAATCAAAAACTCAGTGCCTTGGACAAAACCTTTGACTGTCCTTTCTGACCTCCATATGCAAACACGACACTTAGGTTAGCTGAACACTACACCAATACACAGCATTTCCAGTTCTACTTTGCAACTATAATTCTTGGTCAAAAAGTTTTCTAAAGTTTCCCAAAAAACTCTCATGTCCATCTTGGCATAGCATTCTTCTGCCTTATGCCTGCTGCAGTGACTAAAAACGGTGGGTACTGCTTAGGTAAACCTTTGGTAAACTGATATGACTGACTAATCCACAAGGACTCTTGTACTCCCAATTTGCAAATACTCGCCCTCCACCTTACACTTGGATAGTAAGCTCTTTAGGTAAAGAAGTAGGGGTTTTTTTCACTTGTATATCGTAGCTTTATTGAGAGAAGTGATACAGCCTGAACACTTCAGCCCAGCAGAAGTTCCCCCAAAATCTTTAAAAATCACCAATACTTAAATTTACTCTCCACGTGTCCAGAAGCCCAGGTATCAGAGGCCAGCAAGAGCACTACGCACTCACATTCGATGGATCCAACCACATCTGACACAACTGCCAGAGCTGCAGCTACACAAGAGTTAATCACTGTTGTTAAGTTCTGTATTAACTTAACAGAAGTTAATGGAACTCCTGTTAAGTAACAGGAGTTACTTAACAGTTGCCTTATCAGTGATAGGCAACTCTGTGCCTTTCACCAGCATCAAAGCTGCTATTGGTATATCACTGTTACAGGTATATCACTGTTATCACACAAAGGATCAGAATGTGGGATTTGTCTCCTCCTTGCAAGCACTGCTGTCCAGGTGAATCTGATCTTCTAGGAAACCACATCTTGCACTGAGAGGGGTATAGAACCTTAGAAGCTAACGTTTCAGCATGTGCCCTTTTCTAGTACCCCATCCCTTGCTTAAACAAGGCCTCTACACTCTTACTTCCCTTTCCAGTATTCAATCCCTCCCATCCCCACGCACACTCACAGAGAGGGGCTCTGTTCTTCTATTTACTAAGAAGAGGTGGGAGCAGCACTAGTTATCCATGCAAACATGGACAAGGACAGGTCAGGATGAAAACAGTCTGCTCTGTCCTCTCCACCCTTGTAAGGGAAGACAAAGGAAGCAGTAATCTTGAGCAGGAGAAAAGAACATCGCTAGCACTGTAACAGTGATGGTACCTCACACTTGCAATGTTCCTTGGCACTACATATAACTGAGAAATAGTAGTGCTCATTATCTAAATCCCTAGCCATTACTTGTAAGATTATGTTTACAATCCCTCTCCCACTGGCAGCAGCTTTCCAACACAGGCCGTAATTTCAGTCTGCTTTTTAAAACTTTTATACTACTTGCCTGCAATTGCTATCAAGTAATACGAAGAAAAACTAAAACTGACAAAACTCTTAATTCATCACTTAACATACCCTCTTGAGAGCTGAGAACATCCTAGCATAATGCAACTACCCTTAGCCCAATGCCCAGTTACCCTAATCACACTTGCACAGAACTACCACAGGTGTCCAAACAAACAGCCAACAAATTAGGTACAGCACACTGCTCTGCAGCAAAGACTTTAACCTCATGCCTTTCAGGATCCCCAAACTCATTTAAAAGCTTTGAATTAAACAGAGCAAAATAATATGAAGATTTTGGCAGGCAGCTTTGTTAGAGCTGTATACATAGACTTCCCTTGATTTCAGACAGCAGAAGTTGCAAAAGGAAATATATGATGTAACTGAGGGGAAAAAAGTATTCTTGGGTTTTGTGCTCGTGTTCTCTTCAGTAATTGGCTCAACTACTTCAAAACCACTTATAAGTGCAAACGCTTAACTGTAGAAATACTGAGTTGACTAGGAAAAAAATAGCCTTTAGATTTTGAAGCTGGAGTTGCAACTAGCCAAGAACATGAAGAGCAGCAAGGGCTGTACACCAGGCGGAAACGAATAGTTAAGGAACAGGTCAGTTGTTCCTTCACAAGGCAAGGGGACCTAGAGACAAAGGACATGAAAAAGGCCAGGATAGTTGGCAAATGGTTTTTGTCTGGGTTGTTATAGGCACAGCCTGCCCTCAGGCCTCCCACATGCCCAAGCACATCAGCGGAGTCAGTGTGAGTCATGTATCACCTACAGCAGAAGAAACAGTTAAGGAGCAGTTAAGCCAACTGGCCAGTCGTTAAACCACTATGGCCACGCAACTAGATGGCACGCACCCAGGGGTAAGCAGGGTGCCAGCCAGTGCGACTCCAATGCTGCATCACCCTGAAGCAGCATGGTGAGGGGGTAAGTTTCCTGATGATGTCAAGCAAGTCTTGCTAGAAGGGGTTCCAGCTACATGAAAGATTAAAAGGCAAAACAAAAGAGCCAGCATAGATTTACCAAGGGCAAATTATGCCTGACCAACCTCACTGACTTCTACAATGAGATGATTGGCTCAGAGGATAGCAGGAAAGCAGTGTTGTTGTTTATCTTGACTTCAGGAAGGCCTGTGACATCATCTCCCATAGCATAATAAAGCCAAACTGTTCCCTTATCCAGCCCATGTTTCATGTGTAAGGTGGGTGGAAAACAGAATAAACTGCTGGGCTCAAAGGCTGCAGTCAGCAGCACAAAGACCAGCTGAAGGCCAGTGACTAGTGCCATCCTTCACTGATTAATACTGGGGTCGAGTGTTTACCCTTGTATTAAAACCTAGACGCTGGTACCCAGTGCACCTTCAGTGAGTTGGCACATGACCCCTACTTGGGGGGAGCAGCCCATGCACTGGAGGGTAGGCTAGGCAAAGTGCCGCCCTTGGGGCGAAATAACCCCATGCAGCAACACTGGAACAGCCCCATGGAACAGCCTAGGCTTAGTGCTGTTCTACACTGTTTCCACAGTGAGTAGAAAGTAGCTTTGCAGCAAAGGACCTGAGGACCCTGGTGGACAAGTTAAATATAAGTCAGCAAAGCAGGCCAAGCACATGCTGGGCTGTATTAGCAAGAGTGTGCTTGAAGAAAGCAATTCGTCCCCTATCTTCAGGGCTTAGGAGATCCACAGTACCTGGAGCACCGTGTAGCAGGGAGCCCAAAACCAAACAAGAATTAAACTGCCACACTAAAGGGATCCAGCAGAGGACCACACAGATGACATGGGGGCTGAAGCACAGGCCGTATCAGGAAAGGCTGAAAGAACTGGGTTTATTCAGACCGGAAAAGTGAAAGTTGAGGGAAGTGGATTGAAGGATCTTCTTACTGTTTTTAACTACCTATGGGGAGCAGACAGCCAGACTCTTTTCAGAGATGCACAGTGACAGGACAAGAGGCAGAAACACAAGTTGCAACAAGGGAAATTCTGATCAGACACAAGGAAAGAAATAATTTCACCGTAAGGTTAGTCAAACATTAGAAGAAGATGCTCAGAGATATTAAAAAATCACCTAAATAATGCACTTATAGCCAATTCAAACTTGCTGGTCCTACTTTGAGTTGGGACTTGGACTAGATCACAACTGGAAGTCCCTTCCAACCTAGGTTATTCTGCGTTTCTGTGTATTCATACAACATCAGCATACTGATGGTGCAGAGAAAGGCTACGTTTATTAACTAAGTAGAACTGCGACATCCTCTCCAGTACTTATTTCCTCCTTAGTTCTAATAGGATTAAAGTTTCTCTATGACTTGCCTCCTTCTCCACACATTAAGTCAGCTTATCTGACTTGTGTTTCATCAGTAAAAACCACCCTCCCACATCAGAAACGTTTCAGGAAAATAATTAAAACCTGTGAGTTACTGAAAAATAAAGTTGTATCTTAACTATGAATAAAACATACTGTCACAAACTATCCCAGTTCTACTCTGTTAACAGCAGGGGGAGCTACGAATGCAGCAATGATAGCCAGTTCCAAACCACAGCCGTATTTTTCAGTGCTTCAATAAGGCCAAATACCTGCCCTGGCTGCTGGATGAGTTAAAGAGTAACTATGCCACAGGTAACGGAATGCTTCCAGAGAGCCAGACACATCTGTTCAAGAGCATGAAAACAGGTTGGCTCTGAAATACAATACTACAAACTACAAGATCTTACAACCTACAAAAAAATGGGAGGTAGGTAAAGGAAAAATATTCCCAGTCCTTTCTGGAAACAAAGAGAAACCAGCAAGCTGATGAAACTATTAATTACGGAAATACTCATTAAGTTCCATTTTTAAAGCAGTCACAAATCACGGCATGTCTTTGGTATCGCCTCTTACAAAAAGACTCACTACATGCCTACACCGCATTAATTTCCTAACTTACGTGACTGAAATGCTCACAACTTTAAAGTTACAAATAGCTATTCACTTATTTCTTAGACAGTGCTTCCTCCCAAACAAGCTAAAAATAATTTCAGCTCCCTTTGCTTAAAACTTTTAATACTAAAACCAAAGGAAATAGAGCTGTGGTTAACTTCTGCACTATTAACCTGTATTTATGTGGTAGAAAACTGCAAACTTAATTCCTAGAGCCTCTATTTGTCCACTGTTCAGGGTGCTAAACTGCGGTTCACTCCTACGAAACAATGTAAAGGGAGTTAACCCCCAGAGCAGTCCCCAATCCAGCTGACTGCCTTCACCTACACAGGATTAATCTGTCCTCTATCAATTCAGAACTACTGCCCGGACACCGGAAACCTTTTGCAGATCTACACATAAATCTACACAGGAGCTGTTCCATTTTCATTCAGCTCTGCTGCACCGAACACAACAGCAGTCTAACACGTTTTTTTCCAAATCACCTGTTCCTTAATATTCCATTTTTTGAAAATAAGAATTCCAAAAATGCTTGAACTTGTGACCCACAATATACCACAATCACAAACGTGTAACAATTTGAGAGCTAGAGAATACTAAGCAATACTGATACTGTCACAGTATCTCTGAACCTAGGCTACACTCTCTCCAATATGTGTGCACTGCCTCCTGCGCCGCCTCCTCAAATATGGGACACGCACGACTGCTCTGCTGCAGCTGTACAGTTGCTGGGACAAACTCTGCTTCCCTTCTCCAGCAAAATGCTGATACCAAGAGCAGCAATGGTTTGCACAGGGCCAGGAGATCCCTAAAGGGAACTTGATATGGTTAAGGGTTATGTCGAAGTAGGAAGCCCTATAAGACAAAAGGTGTTGGGGAGGGACACAGTACAGCGTATGGATTAGCAGGCCAAATGCCCATCAGTGTCACTACACACAGACTCCAGGCCATGGTGAACGTTTCCAAGAATAAGACTACCTTCCTTAGCAAGATTTTCTATGGGAAAAGGGTGATCAGCAAAGGAAAAAGTAATTCTAAAATGTTTTTCATTAAAGCAGCAAAATTGCCTGATAGACGAAAGTTCTTATTAATTTCAAAATCTAATCACATTCAGCAAGACACCACATAGAAAGAAACAAAACCTCCAAACTCTGAAATCACAATACAAGGAATCACTTCTAAAACCGAGTCCAGAGTGTCAGGACAGAAATGTTAATTCTCTCTTGCTTCTGTGAACGGAACTCTAGTGGTGGGGCTAAAACGGAGAATCTGCCACAGCAGCTCTGTAACAGAGATATTTAGTAGCAGCAGAGTTAAACCATACATTCCATAAATAAAAGAAGAATCCACAGATTGCAACACATACAACGTACACTGGATCCAGAGCAAAAACTAAGGAGAGCACAGAGAAGAATTTCAACATACCTTGAGCGCTGAAGGCTTCGTGGAGAGGCAGGTTCGTGACCTGCCTGCTTGTCAGCTATTACCGGCTGCTGAGGTGCTGCCTGTGAAGCTGGTCCTTGTTTAACACCTGGAGTAGCAACCTGGAGAGTTCAAAACTTCGTTAGATTTCCTCCAGAGTAAACAGCAAATCTGAGAATCAGTAGAAAACATGGAAATTACAAGACTAGTGTTTTTTTCTTTTTTTTTGATATAAGGTCTTCCATTGACATAATTTTCATATTCTTCACAACGTGTTTTTTTAAATCATCTAGTTCCACAGCTGTGACAGATCAGTTGTTTTACTAAAATCAAGAGAGTACTTAATAAACGTAACAGAAGCAAATTTAGATACATGTGACTTGCAAGTTTTCCAAATATTGCAAGTTTATTAAGTGAAACAGTTCAAGCACGTTTTCATTTCTGATCATATCTCCCACACAAGCACCAAGCTCACTTGCAACCTTAGAACTGAACTGTTCATTATCCAAATAAAAATTTTCACTTTAAAAGTTAAAAAGTTCCCTACTTGAAAATACATTACTAAGTGTCAAGAGCAGAAGCAGGTGATAACCATATTATCACATTGCTATCAGAAATGGAAAAAAAAAATCTAACGCATTTTATCAGTCTGCTACTTCCCCTTTTTAACTGTTCTGTCAGTTCTGAACTGATGAATGACGAACAAGTCACCAGTAGCTTTTTGCTTTTCCTTTGTACACACTGACATTTAAGATATTAAGACACCACTTCACACTGGGAATTCCTGAACCACATCAGGAAGAAAAGTTTGGGAATATGCTAGTAGACACTAGCATATTAGCATAGTTAGAGTAAACAGAGTTCAAGCCACTTCCCCTCCTCCCCATACCCCATACCTTGCATGCCTCTGTCCCTTTAAAATTCACCCCCCACTCTGGAAAATCAAGCTAACAATTTTAAGAAAGAGGGAGAGAAGAACAATGGGTTGTAGGGATCAATAAAGACAAGACCCATCAATCAGGTAGCCTGTCTGGCCTTTGCTGACATCAAGCTGGTGTAGGTTATTAACTAGTGGTCATCTGAAACTCTAGAAATTCTCTCAGTTTCAGAAACACTCCTGTGAAACAAACCACAGAAAGCAAGACAGACAGTATCTGCTAAAGGAGTCAAGACTTAACTTCATTTATTTGGATATGCAGGATATTTTCCTACAAACTCAAACCTACTTACACATCTAAGAGGAAAAGCCACCTTTTAAAAGTATAATCAAAAGCAAAAAAAAAAGTCTGAATAGCACAGGGAAAGCTCATGGTTCTGGAAAGATAAAGCAAGATCCTTGTAAGATTGCTCTGTGTGTTGAAACCAACAGAACTATACAGCTGAGAGGGGCAAAATGGTAGCAGTTCATAAATCGATATACGAAAAAGACTACCCGAGTGTCTTTATGAAATGTATGACATGAAGAACTTTGCTATCAATGTCTGATGAATTTTGCTCACCCTGTGAGCAGACATAATTATTGAGGCTGTTCCAACAGTAGGAACAATTTCAGAAGGAAACCACCAGAGGTAATACTTTTACCTTGCAGATCCAAACTGGAAAACTAACCAGCTCCTTGGCTGGTAAAACCAAAAACGGATTGTAAAGAAAAGCTGGGATTTGTGAGATAAATGAGTCACAAAAATATCTTTACTATTCCCTATTTTCCATGTGTTTCAAAGACTGTAAGCATACCAGGAACATAAAAATAATAAGGGCTAAAAAACCCGATAAATTCCACAAGCAACATTCTCCCTGAACTTGCCAGGTCTGTGTAACACACCACACACAGTTATTTTGCAGAAATTCAGAACCATTTCTAACCATACAACACAGGCACAGCTAAACAGCAAAATGGGATGGCTAGGATCCTGGAGTCTGTGACACCTGAGCTTCCACACGCATACAGCAACCCAGCAGGCAGACATACCTAACAGCTTGAGTTTAAAAGCAGTACAGACATGTTCACGCAGTCCTAAAGAACAGGCCCTACTGTGCAAACGGCACTACACTGGTCCCAGAGCCAGCCTAAGTACCTGTGCATCTGGCACTGGGCTCGGCTCGCATGGTGTCCGTCCGCCCTGTCTACGCCTGCTGCCCAGAAACACCCCAAAGACAACCAGGTTGTGCTCTGAAACCAAGTGTGTCCTGGCACGGCACCACACCTTCATCAGGCATTATTTACCTCAAACTCTTAGAGCTGGATAAGCTAACCTGACTGACAGATCCAAAGGAGTACTACAGTAGACATGCTCACACTGGAGCTGTTGCCACCCAAACTCTCGTCTCAATCCCATCTTATGGAATTGAATTATGTGAATACAGGAACTACCAAAAAAGTTCTTTCCCT